AGAAGTCACGGCGTTTTATCGTTGCATCTTGCGGTCTTGCGTTTCTTACAACGGTGGCGGGCTTTGTACCTTGCGCTTGAAAAGGCACGAGGTCGACAACGGCGTCCCGATGGGGTCTTAAGCCAACAACGCACCGGCAGACGTGTCGTGATCGTTGGCGCTGGTGCAGCTGGGTCAGCGCTTTCCGCAAGTCTCACGACAGCCTCACCGGATCTGCACGTGACGGTGATCGAACGGGAAAAGAAACATGTGTTTCACGCCATGGTTCCCCTCGCCCACGTGGGGCACCGTAGTTACGACCTTAACACAACAGGGAAAGTTGATTTTCTGCGGTCACCTGCCACGTGGAACGTGACACGAGATGCATCCCTTGTTCGGGGGGAAGTGGTGCTTGTTGACACTGCACGAAACGAAGTGGTTGTACTTGAAGATTCTCCCAATTCTTCTGCAACTCAAGCATCATTGCCACCCACCCCACCGCCACCTTCATCATCGTCATCCTTGTCGCGGTGGGTGGCGCCGCTAAAAAGTTGGTGGGCGTGGAGTTCTTCCATTTTTGGTGCCGCACCGTTGGAGCGTCGCTACCCGTACGACGCACTCGTCATTGCGTGTGGTGCGGAGCGAACACTCGGGCCGCTGAAACGTTTTATTTCACCTTCTCAGGTGGATCGATACCGCATTGCAGTGAATCCCGGCATCACACGGGATTGTCTTGTGCATCTGTTTCAAGGGACCGTCCTGCATGTAAAGGTGCCCCCAACCTCTTTTGTAACGAACGGCACGATGCGGTACACATCGCGTCAGCACGACGGCACATTTATTGGCTCCGTAAATACCATTTGGCGTTACATGTACTACTTCAACAAACTCTTACTTTGTCCGTACATTGCAGTGACAGCGGACCGACAGCCGAGCGACGCTTTCCCCCTGGTTCTTAACGATCGAATACTGTCCTTTTGGCGAAATCGTGGTGTTGACTTCATCACATGTTCTTATATTTCACATCTTGATCCACTGCGAAGTGAGGCAACTCTTTACAATTATGTCACAAAAGAAAAAAGGGTGGTGCCGTACAAGCTGCTTGTTCTCGATCTTCCCCTTGTCGCACCTGCCTTTATCGCGAAGAGTGGATTAAGTGGCGGGGCGGCGGCGGAGGGGTTTGTTGATGTCCACCCTGAAACGTTGCAGCATCGTGTTCATGCAAATATATTTGCCCTTGGTGACTGCGCAGCTCTCCCAACGGTAAAGAGTTATGGTGCGGCATTTGCGCAGGTGCCAGTGGTCAGTCACAACGTTCGGCAGCTTCTACGGCAAGTTGATCAAGTGAAAGATAAAGAAGAGGGCTCCTTGAGATCGCATGCGGGGTTTGCTCGCTACGACGGATATTCCTCGTTCCACGTTGTCATGACGACATGGCGTGCCATGTGGCCGGAGTTAAAGTACGGCAAGTCCAAATACGAAATTGGCGAGAGCAGTTCTTACACTCTTGACGGTGCCCCTGTTGTGCTGACAAATCACCACTTGTGGGATAATTTGGCTTGGATTGACATCAGAGGTTTTTTGAACGCGGTGTATTACCAGTTGTTTCTTTACGAGGTGATGTTCTACTTTCTCTTTACACGGGCTGCGTGGTACCCGCCGAGTTGGTTCTCCGTTCCCACGTTTAGCGAAGAAACAGGCGAGCCTCTTCGCGGAGGAATGCTGTGAATAAGAAAAAAATTGTTTACAAAAGCAGTTTTTTGTTATTGTTATATATTTTTTTGTTTCTTCTCCATGCCCCGTTTCAAATTGAATGATTTATGGCTTCTGTGCATTTATGTGGGTGTTTTATCCACTGCCTGCCTGTTTGCTAGAGTTTCTCATTTCTCTGAAGGATGGGAATTGTTTTTCTTTTTGTTTTTGCTTTCATTTTTTTGTTGTTGTTGTTGTTTTGTTTTGTTTTGTACCCCCGTGTCGTAAATGGGATTTATTTGGAAGTGTTTATGCAGAGTGGCTCGAGCGCACTTAACGAAACGCCATGGATTCGTCTGCCAATGGAGGTCTGGGCGACGAGAAGGGCGAAGAGGGTCGCGGGACCCCCGTTGGCGCTTCAGGGGGTGTTGCTGTGGGTTTTGCGGGACCGCCATCTCGTATGGAGGAATTGAGTGAAGAAGAAGAAGAGGATGAGACGGTTGCGACTGCGAGAAACATGGAGCTGAAGCTTTCGGCCATGCGGGACGTAACGTTGACGGATACAGCCGGTGATGCGGGGCACATGGAAGAAGCTCAGACACCGTCCCAGGCGGCCGTTGCATCGCAGGTGAGTGGACCCTCCTCTTTGGTGATGGCATCGCAGTGTGTGTCTCCCGACGATATTTTTTGCAGACACTCTAAGCATGTTTTTGTTTTTACAAGTGCCGGCAAGCCTGTCTTCACACGTCATGGGGATGAGGAGGAATTCACTGAGCTCTTCGGTATATTTCGAGTGCTCATGGCCATGGCTCAGCAGAGACACGGCGATGCGGCGGCAGTGCGGCAACGGCAGAAGGAAAATCTACATTGCATCACGGCTGGTGATCTGTACCTCTACTTTTGCGTGCATGGGGAGCTCTTCTACGTACTTGTGACGCGCGCGAATGAGTCCATGCGAAGCTGCATGCGGCAGTTACGACAGATTCATCTGCAGCTAGTTAGTCTTGTACCCAATGTGGGCAGTATTCTCTCTCGCCATCCTTCGTATGACCTTCGGCGGCTTATTTCCTCCACAGACGCCAGTGTTATACGACAACTTATTAGGTGCAATAATCAAGAGGAGTGTTATTTGTTCCGCTGCCTTGCCGCAGCGCCGTTGTCGGTGAGGCGGCGACGTTCACTGGAGTTACTCCTTACACAACACCATGGTACAGCCTTTTCAGCCACCAATTCAATTGGCGGCGGCGAAGAAAACAGCACTGCAAATACGGGGCACAGAGCAATAACAAAGGAAGCAGAGGCAAAAGATCATCTTTACAGCTTTTTATTTTTTCGGGGCCGTGTGGTGTGTGCCGTGGGGCCAGCGGACTCTGACGCACCACTTCATGTCGATGATGCTCTTTTACTACTTAATTTTACACGGTGTCTTGCCAATTCACAGGCAGGGGAAATATGGGCGCCGGTTTGTTTGCCCATGTACAACAACACCGGGTATCTATGGTGCTATTGTGCCAATATGAATGTTATGGCACGGGACTCTCGACGTGGTCGTGCCGGTCCAAGTTCGTTTGGTGACTTTGGGAATTTAGCGCGAGGGCAGGAAGACCTTCAAGGGCGAATTACCGGTGGTCATGAAACTGAAGAAAGTCTATGTGATCCAGCATACTCGGGAAGCAGGGTCAAGAAAGATGTCGCCGCATTAGACCTCTCTTCGGATGAAACACCAGCGGCGTTCTTAAAGTCCGAGGGGCTTTTGTTGGTACACATTGCAGCTAGTCAGGAGGCTTTTGCAGCTCTTGCAGAGCAGACATATCGAGTGGCAAGTCAGTTAATGTCGGAAATTGTTCAATTAGAGGAGGAACTCTCTCGGTATGAAAGAATTGCTTTGTCCCTTGTAACCTCAGAGGCGAGAGTCAAGAAGCAAGCGCAACAGCAACGATGGCTTAGCTGTGAGACGACACCACCCCTTGCGGCCCACCCCGACTCTAGCAATGTTACAAGCAATATTTTTTTGTCCCCGTTTATTCATCCAGACGGTCTTCAGTGGTTTGCTGCAGTGCTGAGGGGCAAGCCACACAAGGGAGGTTTCCCTACTCTTGTCTACAGTGAACCTTCACCGGCGATGCGATTCAGCGCACACGAACGAAAACGACTTTTACGGCTTGTAGTGGAACAGCGGGAGAGACTTTTTCATTGCTCGTGCCTACCTGAGCCACTTGTCTTGATGCGTATGAACGATGTGAACCTTGTTGTTATGCGCACAACCTCCACCTTCATCGCATCGCTCATGGAGCAATTTTTCAAAACACGGACGGATATTTCTTCGCCATCCTCTGCTGCGTCTGCGGGCGATGGTGACGATTTTATAACTTCACAAGAGGCTCTCGTTGCGTCCAGTCGTGTGAAGGAACTGATGCTGTTATTTTCTCCGCATGTGTCAAACCCGCAGATGCTGAGATGTGCATTGCGCGTGCTTGTACGGTTGGCGGCCCGTGAAGGTGAACTGTCCTTTTATCACTTACGTGGCGTTCGACGATGAAAGTCTGTGCCGCGTTTCGTGCTTCTCCGTCTGTTGTTACTTTTGGACGACTTTTTTGTGAATGTTTTTTTTTGTTTGTTTGTTTGTTTGTTATTCTTTTTTCTGTACCTTTGCTTCGCTGTTATTATTATTATTTTTTTTTTTGTCAATACTCACTCGGCATCGGTGTGTCTCCTTTTTTTTCCCCCCCCACCCACCCAACCCTTTTTTTTACATTTTTGTGTGCTTGAAAACACACCCATCGAAGTGTCTTAAGTTTTTTCTATGCTGGCCAAAAAGAAGGCCGAGAGGAGGCATGCCATCGCCGTGATTGCCTCGGCAGAGCGACAGAGGAAGGTGAGGCGGATGCGTCCTGACGCGAAAGACGAAAAGGACGACGAAAAGGAGAAGATGGGGAAAGTTGTTGGGAAACGCCATCGGACCAGCGAAGAGGAGGATCACACGGTGGACCCGATGGCGGTTTCGGCCGAGAACCCTGCAGATGTGCTTCGAGCCATCGGAGACCACGTCAACACACGGCTTCAAAAACTTGAGTTTGACGACGACTTGGATGCGGACTTGTTCGACGAGCAGCAGCGTCAGCTGCGGGAGGAAGCGGCAATTGCGGCAGGCACAAAGTCGCGTGTGTTGTCCACCGCCATTTCGGGTTTTTTTCGACAGCAAGAAGAACAAAATAAAAGTGTCAAGATGTTGCGCGTGGGGCACAACAGTAATGCGTTAACGGCAGTATGTGGTCTTGGGTCCGAATTGGTGGTCTTTGGGGATAAGTCGGGATCTGTGTACATGGCGGAGCTGCGCGGCAGTCCGTCCCCGCCACTTTCTTCTAATTCTTCGCAGAAGACCCTTCTTAGACCTTGTTTACCCGCAGCGGTACTTTCCATAGCCGTTTCTGACACGAGTGGTCTACGCCCCTCACAACGCGCCCTGTTTGAGCGTAGCACCGTCGATACAAGCGTCACATCTTACATTGCGGCTGGAGGAGCTGATGGTACAATAAGCATATGGGTAACAAGAACCCGAAAGCATATGGGGTTTTTATCCATGCATCGTTCTGCAGTGACTGGATTGGCGTTTCGTCACGACACATTATATAGCTGCAGTAGCGACGAGACATTGCGAGTGTGGTCTGTGCCGCAGATGATTTGTCAAGACAAACTTTTTGGTCATCAGGGACGTGTTCTTGGCATACATTGTCTCAAGCGGGAACGCTGCGCAACTGTTGGAGAGGATGGAACAATGCGTTTCTGGAAGGTGGACGCAGCGACACAACAGGAGTTTACCACATACTCTTATTTTGGTGTGAAGGTTGTGCTTGAATGTGTCACAATGGTCAACGAAAATGTTGTATTGTGTGGTGCCTCCAACGGTGCGCTTCTCTTATATGACCTCAACAAACGGAAGCCGCTTGCAGTGCAGGAGGCGGCACACGGTTACGGATTTGTGGGTGACGGCACGGGTCTGGAGAAGGTGATATTGGCGGCACAACTGGAGAAGGCCAGCAGTAACGGTGAAGAGCAACGGGAAGAATGTCGGCGGAACGCGAACCCCATCACAGCGGTGGCGTCCATACCGTACAGTGACGTGGCAGCCAGCGCAAGTTATGACGGCAATGTGCGGCTCTGGCGCATTGCCACTCCAGAGACGGGCAAGAAGAGTGGCCCAACAGTTGATCAGGCTCAGACAGGCGCACTGGCCAAAACGACATTTGAGTGTTTGGCGTCCGTACCCATTAGCGCCATTGTGAATTCCTTGTATTTCACCTCTAGTGGCGATGCACTTTTTCTCGGGTGCGGTAAAGAACCCAGACTTGGTCGCTGGGTTGTGCAACGAGGCGCTCTCAACGCTGCATATGTTGTGCCTCTTGATGATGCCAGGCTACGCGCGTTCACGGCCTGTGCGGATGTGGAACACATCCCTGCGATGTTGTACGGCTTTGACGATGAAGAAGATGACAATCACAGGGAAGAGAAAGACGACGGGAGAGAAAATGATGTGCCAGGGAGTATCGACCTCACCGAAAGGAACGGTGCTCTTCAGGCTAATGAGGGCAGTGATAATGACAGCGATGTCGGGAGCGGCCTGTTTACGCTTGGCGAGGACGGACAGATGCAATTTCTTGTGCCACCGGAGGCTGATGCCACAGACGAGACGGCGGTGGTGAAGAAAAAGAAGAAAGCCATGAAAGCCAAGAGGGAAAAGAACGTGTCGTCACGTGGTGCGGGTGGCAACAACGAGAAAAAGTTTGGTCGAATCAAAAGGTCGGCTGAGAACCGGCAGACGCATCAGCCGACGGGCGATTCGCCGCGGCCCCAGAGAAGGAAGAAGAAGAAGGCAAACCCCAAGGAGGCAAAGGAGTGACGGGGAACGGAAAGAGACATGGCGCGTGTTGTTTCCCAAGGCACGTTGTTTTGTCTACTTCCTTGTTTTCTTCCATTTGGTTTCCTTTCTTCCTTTAATAAAAAAAAAAAAAAAAAAAGCTCGGAGAATTAATTAAGCCAGCTCCTACCCTCTAACGCACACAAAGCAAAAAATGAAACAAAGTGGGAAAAGAGAGAGGCATGCATGCATGCAACACGCTTAAAGCTGGAGAACATAAATAAATGAGAGACGCAGGGAGACTTTCACTGGTGAAGGTTGGCTGGGGAGAGCAGACACAGTGGAATTGGCCACACCATCGATGAGCTTTTTTTGTGTTGCTTTTCTCGGTCTTCGTTCTCTGTTTTTTTTTTTTTTTTTTTAGTTTCTCCCCTTTTACCCCACTTCTTATATATAAATATATTTACATTGCTGTCTCAATTTTTAGGTTTTCTTGTTTCTGTCTTTTTCCTTGTTTCCCGCGCCCCACTGGAGGCACATGACTTGGCTGTAGGGATGACGAGCTTTAAAACATGACTCTCGTCTGTCTCTGCTCCTTTTCATGCTACTTGGTTTATTTTACTATTCTAACGGCACCATATTTGGCTGCAATTGTGTGGAATAGGTCTACACGCAGCGAGGGGAACCAACAAAAGAAGAGAGAAGTTGTGAGAGGACAGAGAGAGAGAGGGGTTAGGGTGGGTGGGTGTGCCATTTTCACTGCCAAGGGAATAGCCTCATCACCGGCCTGACGGCGCGGAACATTTTTTTTTTTTTCAAAGGTGAGGATGGGGGAATCGCATTTCACTGAGGACGGCGTGTGGCTCCGCGATGCCGTGACGAGCATGCACGCCGCCGCGACCCAACGGATGCATCTACTGGAGGATCTCGCGAGACTTTGCAAGGCGCTTGCCTCGGATGTAAAACACATTTGCCTTCGAGAAAAAGTCAAAGGACTGGAAGAAGAGTTTAATTTTGAGGAGTATAGCCTCTCCGCACTGGAGACGCTGCGGCAGTTGCAACAGAAATCCTTCCAGAAAGGGGTCGACGGTGACAGACGTCATCCTGTTTTTTCGCGTTATGACACTTCTTCGACCTCTGAGTCTGTGGGCTTCTCATTGGAGTCTGCGGGATTCCCTTTAGCGGGAGGAAACTCACGAAGAGATGGCAATTGCTTGACTGAATTGTCAAGAGCAAATGTGGATTCGTATCTTAATAAGGAGCCGTTTCTTTGTTTGTCAGGGCAGGTTTCATCATCAAAAGGTGAGAAGAATGACCTGCTAACCGATGTAATTCATCGCCGTGACGCACTGCGGGATGAAGTGGCATCACTTAAGACCGAAAACGAACGTCTGGCGCTTTATCAGGATCATCTGAAGCGCAGTGTACACTTTTCAGCACATGCTGCTACTGTTGTGGGTATGGAGCGGGATGTTTTTACAGCCCTGAGCGAGCTGTTCAATGCACTGCTCGAGACCAGTGAGGACTGGCTCACATCTCTGCGGACATCGGAAAGTTTCCCCGAGAGAAAGCACGAAAACAATGACGCTTTCAGTGACACCGCCAGTTTGCAATCGACAGAGGAGGAGGAATTGCGGGGGAAGATTCGGCAGCATTGGGAGGCACAACGTGAGGCAGTGATGGCCCGGCGGGCAGCCACCATGTGGTCTCAGTCGACGCGGGTGGTGATGGCAACTCTCCGTCAGGAGCTTCATGAAATGCAGATGAACTACAAAAGGCAACGCGATGAGGGACATCAACAGCAGTTGTCGTGGCTGCGTCTTGAGGCCGCAGTTATGAATGCGGAGTCGAAGTATTTGAATTTGCGGCTGCAGTACGTCAGGCGGTTCATGTCAGTTTTTCACCATGCCTCTTCCGAGGGGAACGATGATGACGATGATTTTGCGAGAGAATTGCCTTCTGATGCTGCGTCGCAAAGGGATCGCATGGACAGGGCGTTTATGCATCTGAGGTCTATTGTTGTAAACTACGAAACGGATCTTTGCAAGTTGAAGCAAATCAAACGTCTACTGAAGCGGTCTACCCCAGCGGGCTCCTTTTCCAGAGGGGAGCAGATGTTCAAGGAAAAGCATCAAGAAATCAAGACGGCTATTCTGCCATGTCTTGCCTCTAGTGAGGGGAAAGACGCATTTCACAGCGGTGTACAGCGCACCATGCCGTGGCCATTGAAAATGTCGAGGCTTAAGAGCTCATTCCCTTCGCATTGTGTGGAGTCCGTCCATAGTGCATTGCTGGCGCTTATTGTTCTTTGGGAACACTTCACCCCTGTGGAGCAGCAACGGGTGTGCGCGACGATAGGTGACATGGCAGTCAACGCCCACCTGCTTCTTATGATAGCGAAGTATGTAAAGTCACGACGCCGTCGCAGATAATTTGCGCTGTCCTTTCATAATTCTTCCGCCATTCTTGCAAACGAAAATACAACGCACGAAAAAAAATTTTTTTTTTTTTTTTTAGCCAAATAAATGCCCCACGCATTATGTTGTATTGGTGTGTAAGGTCTGGTGAGGATGAACGGAGCGACATCCGATTTCTTTTTTTTAGCGTGTTTTGCGCGGGTTTTTCCTTTGGAAGCTTTGGAGGCCGCGCCGCGCCTATTATGTTTCCTTATTGCGCTTTTTAGCCGTGTGGCAGGACAATAATGATGTTTTTTTTTTTTTTTTTTTTTTTTTCCATGGGGCTGGCATGAAGTGCTGCTGCATTCACGAGTTTATCTTCTTTATATATATATATATATATATTCCTCTTGTTCCTTTCTTCTTCTTTTTTTTTTACGCTATTTTTCTTCTTCCATTGTGTTCTTTTCTTTTTTTTCTTTTTTCTTTTTTTTTTCTTGTGTGTGTGTGTGTTTTTTTTTTCTGTAGCGACATGTCTTGCCGCATGAATGCCGCTGCCGCTGTTGAGAGCGAAAACGTGGGCAACAGACGGGAGGAAGAGGAGGAAAGGGAGGCTGTCGATGAACAGGCACGCAAGTTACCAAAGCGTAAAGTTGCCATCATTTTTGGGTACGTTGGTGAGCGCTACTGTGGCCTCCAGTGGAATCATCTGCCGGGATACCCCACCGTTGAGGAGGAGCTGCTGCGAGCATTGCACCGCACAGGCATGATTTCCAAGGAGAACTACGAACAGGAAAAGGTGCAGCAGAAGCTCAACTGGGAGCGCGCTAGCCGTACAGACAAGGGGGTTCATGCGCTGCGCAATGTGATTTCACTGAATGTCATGCTTCCGTACGCGAAGGGTTCCACTACCGAGTACGATCCGCAAGAGGCTAGGCGTATTTTAATGACGGTCCTGCCACATGACATTATTGTGTATGAAATTGTTCCGGTTACACGCAGCTTCAATGCCTACATGCTGTGTGGAGCGCGAACATATGAATACTACTTGCCAACATTTGCTCTCATGAGCCTTGATGAATACAGTCGCGACTACTTCCCGCCCTCACTCGCCCCGGCGCGGCCCACACTGGAGGAAGTGGGCTTCACCGGTGTGGCCTCTGAAGGCCCGAGAGCGACAGAGGACGAAACACCCAGTTTTGCTCCGTTGGGAACAAAACGTCCGCGTGAGGTGGAGGAGAATGGAGAGGCGACAGGTGACGGCAACGACAATGCCAATAGTGTGGTGGGAGGGAAGGATACATGTGAGAAACACGAAAGAGAGGAGGAGGTGGAAGAGAGAGATGGACAGCAATGCATTGGGGGACGTAACAGCAATGAAACGGTGCAAAAATTTCACGACGGTCGTTTTGAGAAGTTGTTGATTTTTCGCACCATCCCCGCAGATGCAATGCGCCACGTGTCGCAATATCGTCTCTCGCCTGAGCAACTAGAACACGCACGCAATATTTTTCGACTTTACGAGGGAACCTACTCGTATCATAACTTCACACCCGGGGGTCGAGCAAGTGACCCTTCATGTATGCGCTACGTCACATCCGTGACGGTGGGAGACCCGTTTCTTGTTGAACCCACAGATGCTGCCGTGATCTCGGCGCTACAAGAATGGACACCGTCACGGTGTTACTTCCCGGACGACGAGCAGGTCTCACTCCAGGGACAGAATGATGAGAATAGTATCGAGGAGAAACGGGAACAGATGCGCGAGCATATGCAGCATGTATATGGTGATTTCTCCTGTGGAGGAGTGGAAGGTAGCGTCAAGACTGGCCTTGAGGTGGTGCGAATTGAGCTGCATGGACAGAGCTTCATGTTAAACCAAATCCGCAAGATGATAGGGGCCGTTATCTCTATATGTGCTGCTGGTCTTTCGCCACAATATCTGCGAGACCATCTGTTGAACAAAGCGGTACGCTGTGGTGTGCCAATGGCACCGGCGAATGGTCTTTTTCTCTCGTACCTTGACTTCCAAAGGTACAACTACCGCCTGGAACGCATCCAGAGCCAAGGTGGAAATGGTTCCGGAAAGTGTGGCGTGTATGTGGATCGTGTTAGCAGCGACGCGGTCGAAGCGTTCCGTCACAAAATTGTTGCTGTTATTCTTCGCAACGAGATGGTGGGTGATGTGATGGGTCGATGGATGCGATCCTTGCGACACGTGTTACGGCTGGCGTGCGGCCTTGAAATACCGTGACGACCCGAGACTTTAGGACGGCCCTGACCTCAATTTATCTGTAAAGTAATGGATGAAATTAATAAACATTTGTCGTGTTATGCATCCATGCAGACATGGAAATGGGCTTCCTTGTGCTTTTGTCTGTCTGTCTGTCTATTTGTGTGCGAAGAGAGAAATGTGGTGGATGACTTGTTACTGGTTCATTGCGTCCATGCTGGTTTCCCTTTTTTTTTTTTTTTTTTTTTTTTTTTTTGGCTCTTGGACGGCTTTGCCTTTTATCCGCTCCCGCAGTTAAGAAAAGATTCCAGCGTCACCGTGACGAGTTGCATTCTGAACGCACGATGTGGAACGTTGTTTCTCAAGTTGGGAAGGTGGCCTACCGCACTGCTGCGAAGACAGGCCTGGCCGCCGGTACAGAGCAGCCCCCGTACCCGTGTGCACTGCCGCTACAGAGTTTAGAAGACCCCGAAGACACGGCTCAAGTACAGGAGCTCCTTGACAACATTTTTGTCGCCGCAAAAGACCTCCTCGAAAACGACGCCGAACACCAGTGGCGCCTTGTGGATTACCAGGACCCTGACAAGGGCGGCGACTTGCACCTCTTCACTCGTCCCCACATTGGCCCCTTCAACTTCGCCAAAGCGACGGTTTCTTTTATGGATGTGACGCCGCAGCAGGTGCTTGACACCATGCACAGTGATGAAGAGGCAAGCCGAAAAAAATATTCGGCCAATATAAGCCATTTCGAGATTCTTGCAAGGCCGACGCCCACGTCCAACGTACAGTATCACGAGTATTGGGCACCACCCCCAGTCTCCGGTCGCGAGTTTATCTTTCTTGCCGAGAAGAAGTACGTGGAAGAGGATGACGTTTACTACGTCTATGGGTGCAGCATTGATTACGCACCACTCAACAAGAAGTCCAGTGGCCATGTGCGCGCATCGTGCCTGTGGGCTTGGGAGTTAACTCCTATTGGCAACAACACGATGGCCACGTACGTGAGTTGCATGAACCCCCGCGGCTGGACACCCACGTTTATTATGGGATGGCTGAAGTCAGAGATTGGGAAAGAGCTGGTAGCATGTCGCCGTGTCCTGTATGGTGAGACCGTTCAATTGGAGCGCGCATCGCTCGTTAGCATGGGATTGAAAGATGAAGATGTGATGCTGATGAGGAACCAGGCAGGCGAAGAGGAGCCATTGTCATGCTAGTGGTCCACGGACCCTTTTTTTTTTTTTTTTTTTTTTTTTTTTTTATGGACGATTCATACAAAAAACGGTATATATATATATATATATATACGTGTATGTGTAAATTACATTGCATATACACATTCCCTCGATGTAGACAACAAAGTACAATGAAAGTCGGTCCGAGGACCGGGCCACACAAAAGAGAAAATTGTAACAGGGAAAAAAAAAACCTCGCCAAGTAGAAACGAAAACTGACGGCCTTTTCTTTCATCAGAAGAGAAAAAACAAAAAAAAAAAAGAGGAAAACAGGACAGCGGAAGGAAGTGAATATGTGCAGGAGAATTTTAAAACAAAAACAACATCTTCAAAATAACTTAGCAAAATTGAGGGAACAAAGTTTATTGCACGCGCCAACCTAACAGAGCGTGTCTAGTGTAGAATTTCTCTTTGACCAAGACGGTGAATAAGGGACCGAGAAATTTCTGTTGCGACGGTTTTTGTGTCTTTTTCCCTTGTTGGATTTTGGCTATGATACTTCCTTTTTTTTTTTCTTTTGTTGTTGTCATTGCCTTTCAATGAAAAAACAACAACAAAAAAAAAACGGAATGATGCCTGCGTGAAAAGAAAATACGTTAATTTTATTTTTTTCTCCACTTTATGGTATTTGTTCATACAGGAGATCATCAACCAGACACCATTTCTTGTTTGTTTTTTTTGAAGGGTGGCGGTGTAAATGGCGCTACTACGCATGTGTCTGGAAAACATACCAAAAAAAAAAAAAATAATAATAATAATAACATCTTCTTTTTTTTTCTTTCAAATCTCCCATAGCGTTTATTTTCTGTTTGGAGGCTTATGCTTTGAAAGGGAACCATGTTTGTAGGATGTTCCATGGATTGGACGGCATTCACGAGACACACACGCCCACGACCACATTGTGAGGTTGTGCGGTCCAACGACACTTTATCATTGCCCGGCGACTAGCCCGCCATCGAGCCACCACGTGGGTGGCGTTCTCACCATTAGCGGGCAGCCAACTCGTTGCAAGGCGGGAACAAGACAAAGGAATGAATTGCACCTCGTTGCGACACTCTGTCGCTGCCATCACCGCGCCGAGGAACCCTGAGTCCATTCAAGCCTCTTTTGAGGAGGAAGAAGCACACCGCTGTTTGGAACAAGTGGGCGGCACTTGAAGGAAGGCAGTTGGCGCTGCAGCGCCCATATGAGTGCGCTTGGGCTCAGTTGGAGGAGCAAAAATATTGGCGTGCAGCTCAGATGTCCACGGCGCAGTTCCAGGCGGTGCGGATTCGATTGGCGCCTTTGCAAGGTTTGCTCATGGTCATCAATGGGAGGACAACTTGGCGACCATCAGCGCTCCGCAAGGCCCGTCACAAGTCTCCACCGCTCCTGCCACGGGAAGTTGGGGTGTGTCCCATACGGCAGTGACAATCGAAAGATCCTACAAATTCATGACGTGCCAGAGGGATTAGAGCTGTTACTCGGCCCACGGGGCACACGGGGGACCAAGTGGGGAATCCGTGGGAGGCGGGGACTCGTACGGAGGATTGCAGTCGCACCATTTGACGGCGTATTGAAATGCATTATGGATGCAACGCCTGGCCACGGCTCCTGGATGCGTCTTGGGCCACCTTTGCGACGCCGGGTGCGCCAGGTCCCGGCATGCAGACAGCCGTGAGGGGAACGGTGTGTCCTGGGCGTGCGCCACTCGCGGGGGAGAGATGTTCATGGAATCTTGCCAGTTGTCAGGGCGACTGCGTACACTCAGTCAAATGGATCCTCGGGACAGTGAATAACGATGCTGGAGTGCGGGTCGAGGACATTCAGGGTGCTGTGGAAATGCCCAGAAATGGGACCGCCCTTTCCCCTAGGCGGTTCAGAGAGAAAAGAAATAGCATGCCGCACCCCCGCCCAATGAAGCACGATGCCGCAAACGTGGTTGGATTGGGCAATGCAACACGACGTGCCGAGTGAAGCTGCGCAAGGAGGCCTATAAACACACAAAAAAGTACTTTCGGCTCCGGAAGCAATGCCTTCTGGGCCGGCACAGGCGGGACATCGTCATCAATGTCCGGCTGTGGCCGCTCGGCGTGGGTTCCTCTCAACGCTGCGCTCGTGGTGATGCCGTGGGCCACCTCACCAACACGTCGTGCGGTTGACACCTTTGGTGGAAACGAGTTGTCGCCGGGGAAGGACGGCACACGACCATCTTTCCTGAGGGCCAAAGCATCGTTTGGCGCACCCATAGCCGTCAGGTTGCGTTGCGGGAGAAGGAGGATTGCTTGTCCCTGGCGACGAGTGGACGTGTGCGCTTCATCCCTGAAGTGGATCCGACGGCGGATGAATCCAACGGCACGCGACTGTGTTGACGATTTGTGGAAGGACACTGTGTTACGGTCCGTCATTTAGACGAGCGATGGGAAAGAAATGAATTTGAGGATCTCCGCACAGCATGCGCTGCTTGTGAAAAGGGCGGGTATTATTTGTAGAGCCATGAAGTGGACCGTCGCGGGGTGGGCCGGCGGTGCCTTTTGCGGCGGTGTTGGACAAGCCGTCAGGGCGGGGATGGCGGTTCATCGCATGGCCAAAGGCACGGAACGCCCATGAGGACGCCGGGGTCATGGTTGCTCTGCCATTTCACATTTCCCAGTATCTTGGCGCAAAGTGGAACGAGACCGCTGCTTTACTGGATTTGGATGTGTCTTTTTACAGGCGGTTCTTTTGGCGGATACGCACGGGCGAGTTTCGGCTGTCGAGTGAGATTTGTGGATCTTGTGGAGTTGACTCGTCCCCACACGGGCCACGAGTGTTGTCCGGAAGTTCCCCGCACCACCGCGAGGGCCTTGGCGGAAGACCCCGAGATGGTAAGACCGCAGTCTGTGGCGCCGCGCGTGGTAAGGGCTCCTGTTTGGATTAGCAGTATCCGGACCAGTGGGCTGCGGAGGAGCGTGGTTCGGCGAGACCAATGTGCGGCCAAGAAGTGGCGCCAACAGGAAAACAGGAATTCCTTGCGAAGAGGTGTGAATCTATTGGCTTATCCTTCAGCCGCGAGACGAAGAGCGCCGCCCTGAAACGCGATGCGAGTACGAGGATTGAGGGAGGCCGCGCGTCTCCGAACGCATGCAGCCGAGGGTGTGAATGGTGTAGCCCCCGTAATTTACTGTGCGGCGGTGCTGGGGAATAGTGCTCGAAAATAATTTTTCTAAAAGGAGGCATAATCTGTTTAGTTGTTTTCAGATGCGGTCCGAACGGGTGAGTTTTGGCATCCCTACACGTGTGTCGACAATGTGACAGTTCTGTGCCCAATGAGTTAAGGGAGAGGTTTGTTGGGATGTTTTTTTTTTTTTGCGGTGGTGTTGCTTTTGATGAGCTTTTGCGCAATCACCGTGTGCTAACCAAATGGCGATACGCAAATTTGGAATGCATCTCTTGAGGAGGTGCTATCAGGCAGATGGATGTGTAGAAGTGGAATTTGGGTTGGAGGTGGAATGCGCTTTCGGCAACTATCTTTTTGTCATTAATTAACGATAATTAAAAATGAGGAGTTGTTTTTGAATCTCTGTTGGGTATTGCATTAATATGCATGGGTGAAGAATGAAAATACGGAGGAAACACATTCTCTTGCTTTTTCCATCACTTTGGCTTAATGGAAGAAGGCGTAGTATAACCGACTATTCTGTTTTTTTTATTTATTTTTTATTTATTATTATTATTATCTTTTTTTCTGTTGTTTTTCTTCTGTTTCTTATGTTGACCGTTGTTCACGACAGGTGGGAAGCAAATAAGAACAATACTGTCTGAAGCGTTAAAAGCAGATGCCACCGAATTACTTGCCCATGCCAACGGACGTTCGTGCGACGATCCGTGACACAAAACGCATGCTACGAGAACACCTGCCGACATACAAGGAGGTATTCGATGAAATAGAGGAATTTATTTCTGCTCAGGTGGAGATCATTAAAAAGGAGCAGGCTGCCGGTATTGCCTCCGTGCCAGAGGTGCAGGCTCAAGAAATATTTGATGGGAGTGTCAGTGAATCTCTCAAAAACAAAATTCGTCAACGTGGCTGTGCTGTCATCCACGGTGTCTTTCCGCGTGATGTGGCGGCTAAATGGAACGAGGATGTCAAGGCCTATCTAGATGAAAACAATTTCGAGGAGCGACTTAATCATGCCGCCGTGGATAAGTATTTTTCAGAGCTTGCAAAGGGAAAACCGCAGATTTACGGTGTTTACTGGTCTAAGCCCCAAATTGAGGCAAGACAAAGTGAGCGCATGAAGGCAGTACAGGTATTCATGAACTCTTTTTGGAAGTCGGAGTCTAATGGCAAGCAGCATTTTGAGCCAAAGAACATTGTGACTTATGCAGATCGACTGCGTCGTCGACCCCCTCACTCACCACCGCTTGGGCTTTCACCTCATGTTGACAGTGGCACAATTGAGCGTTGGCTTGATTACAAATTCCGCCATGTATACCGTAATGTCTTCTCTGGTAACTGGGGGGCGCATAATCCCTACGACGCGGAGGGTCGCACTGAAGTTCGGGAGATTAAGTCCCCAGCGATGTGCTCTGCGTTCCGTACTTTTCAGGGCTGGACGGCCCTTTCTCCACAACGCAAAAACGGTGGCACACTACGCCTTGTTCCAATTATAAACGCAATTCCATATATGCTGCTGCGCAGTTTGCAGGATGATGTGCCCGAAGATGACCTCTGTGGAGCCCAACCGGGTCGGGCTCTTGGCCTTTCCCCAGAGTGGCACAGCCTGTTATTGGAGGCTGAGTGCCCTATTCCCGAAATGGAGCCCGGTGACTGCGTCTTTTGGCACTGCGACCTTGTGCACAGCGTAGAAGCAGAGCATGAGGGGGAGTTTGACAGCAACGTCATCTATATTGCCTGTGTGCCACGTTGTGCAAAAAACGTTGAGTACGCCCGGGCTCAGTGGGAGGCGTTTCTAAGGGGCGGCTCTCCACCCGACTTTGCCGCAGACGATTTTGAAGTGAATTTCAAAGGTCGCGCCCGACCCGAAGATCTGACGCCAATTGGAGGGCCCA